ATCAACCATTATTCATTCTCCAATAGACGTCTGGTCACTGTCTCACTTACAAAGCCTTCAGCACGGAGCGCAATCTTCAAACTCTCCTCATCATGCCTCAAAAAAGCGACCGTTGTCCTTGAGAATTTTCATTTGCGGCTCGTTCTAGTCAGAGAAATACTAATCATATGCATATATTTGCATATAATCAGCAACACTCGATATTCCTATTTCCTTCTTCAAGCTACAAAATCCTAATCGATGCTCAGTGTACGTCTTGCATATGTTATTCATTTGCGGGACCTCAAGGATTGATATGACAGATCCTCGTTCTTCGGTTTTGTGAGAGGTACCCATGATGCTTAAAGTAAGCATATCCATGATTTACTTACCCCATCAATATCAAACTTGCTCAGCAATTCAAGCAGGTAGAAAGTTGTTGAGACCATATGATAATGGAGCTTACTGCGACTGCTGTGACACCAGCGTATGTATAGTCCTCACATGGAATACGAAACTACTGCGTCTCAAACTCACCGGCGACGAATGGAGTGGGCGAGTATTTGTCACCAGTTGCATGTTACACGGGCACAGATGAGGCATGAATTACCAGCTTCAAATCGGCTTGAGTATATCGAATTCATAGAAACCATTCTATAGCGGCTGCGAAGCGTATCAATAAATAACCCAGGTGCGACCGGTACGTCACTTTCAACAACTTCCTCTAGCTTGCTTGCCTATAAGGCTATCAGTGGTGCATTTCATAGACACGAGCCTCCCCAATCCCACAGTGGAAGCAACAGAAACGGGGCAACCCCAAAGACCAGAAAGAGTTTTGAGAGCACTGCATAGCCTCGGTACCGGTATTATATGGGTGTATCCCAACCGCCGTATGTCTCCGCTAAGATGCTTGCCACAATATCTTCATTCCGCTGTTTCTTTTCCCGAGTATCATTGCCTCCTCAGGGATATCTCCAGAAATTTTATGTGCATGTACACTAGCCTTAGTATATCCATTTTTATCCCGGATTCCAATCTGACCGTCTGAAAACTATTCTCCCCAATATATACCTGCTCAGCTGTCGCATGATACTGTCGTGGCCTGTCTATTGTTACGATCCTCTACTCATGCTATGGGATTCCTTTCATGAGTAGAGATTTGTGCGTCAGAAAATTACTGGTGTCGTCGGACCTCCGAGTCCTTGACCAAGAGCAACGGTGATTTGTCATCAATCAATCACGTGGGGAATTCTCTCATGGATCGGAATATCGTGGCACCCTCAGCCAAGGAAGCCCACGACAACAGTCTGAGTTGTTGCAGAAACCGACGAAGAGAGAAGGGTTCTCAGTCTTGCTTGTCTCCATCTACTATCAGCCTCATTGCTTTTTGCTCACCGTAGAAGTACAATAACACGACATGTCTTCAGCAACCTCTGCGAGCGGCAGCGCCTCGTCTGGATCATCCTCCGCCTCCAAAACCTCTTCGATTCCACAATCTGCTCCAGCTGGTCTTTTGTCCATGACCCAACCGCCACAAGCATCCACCTCTTTCTTCAAAATTGCCTCGGGAGAAGTTGTGACCTTTGCTTGGTCTTTTTCCGGTGTTCTTGCTACTCCCACATCGCTCACCGTTAACGCTGTTGGAGCGAATTCTTTTACATATTCTCTGACGAGTCTCCCCGGAACCGCGTCTAGCTACATATGGACACCGTATGACTATCAGCAAAGTCATTTAGCTACTCCATTGGCACAGACTACATACTCTCTACAGATCTTTGATGAGAGAGGTCTGGGTGCAACGACAAGACCAGGATATCTGAGTCCAAACACGGCATTGACGTTCGCCTTGTACACGCCTCAGCCTTACACACCGCTTGCCAGTGTGTCTATTCTTATTTCGGTCTAGACTCCCACTGATCTGGTTTTTTTTTATAGGTTGGGATTGTACAGTGTGTAGTGGTTCAAATACATCGTATACTGCACATCCGGCGTCCATTGCACTCATCGCCACTTTTCTCGTCATGTTTCTATCGGGTTTTGGGCTGCTCAGGAACGCCGTTGCTTATACGAGACGATAGATTATCAAGATGAATTTTCGTGGAAGAGAGGTGGAGAGGTGGCTTGCATTCGCATTTGGTTGGACTCGCACGGATTCGCTATTTGATTGACTGACACTGTTATGTTATTGGACTGTATGAACTTATGAACTACTATAGCTGATGCATCCGCTTTACTTTCCTTCGTTATCTGCCTTTATTCCGGTCTTTTCCCTCCGCCTAGGCATCATTCTTCCATCTCACGGTATTCCCTGATTCCTTACTCCTTACAGTACCCCGTAATGTTTTCCATACTCATTAGATGTTGCAAGACACTAAAGATGTCGCATGAGTGCCTTGATACTGATCAGCAGGCCTCATCTTTTGCTCTTCCCGTTCTAAATAAAAACTGCCGTGCCACCATTATCCAGAATTCCGTTAGTGTTTGCTGAACCATGTCTCTCTCAAGACACAGTGAGTTCTCGGTTCGTCCTTTGTTGACCTTTGAACCTGACCAAAACTACTAGTCGACGCTGAGGAAGTAATCCAGAAATCTAAAGACGCTCCTCATACCCAGGCGTACCGTCAGACTCATGAACGTCGATCAGTTCATCAGTCCTGGAGCCGCGATGAAGACGCCCAAGGTGTCCCAAAATATTCTATGCCTGAAGTTGGGATTCCATCCAAAGCCGCCTACCAACTCCTCCACGATGAGACTCAACTGGACGGAAACCCTCTGCTTAACCTTGCGTCGTCAGTCTTCCCGTTTCATACCTGTGCGTCAATGACTCTGAAAATGGATGATGCTTCAACGCAGATTCGTGCACACCTGGATGCCGGAAGAAGCAAATAAGTAGCGAGTTTTCACATTCGTTGCACACGCCGGATATCTAACACGATGTCATTCCAGACTCATCATGGAGAATATCAATAAAAATCAAGTTGATATGGATGAATACCCTGCTGCGACAATCATACACAATCGTTGTATCTCGATGAGTATGTGTATCTTCATCATTCAAATATCGGTGTCGATAATCAGAACTATTTCTGCAATTGATATAGTTGCTTCCTTGTGGAAAGCCCCGTCCGTAGGCAAAGTCATTGGAACCTCCACTGCGGGCTCATCAGAGGCGATCATGCTGGGAGGTCTTGCAATGAAGAAACGCTGGCAAGAGGCCCGTAAAGCTGCCGGAAAGGACCACTATCAACCTAATATAGTTTTCGGGTCCAACGCTCAAGTCGCTTTGGAGAAGTTTGCGCGGTAAGTGGATTGATTTCTTGTATTCCAATCGCAGAATGATTGGGAACTGATGATTGTGTAGATATTTTGACGTTGAATGTCGACTCGTTCCTGTTAAAGCTAGTAATAACTACGTGATGGATCCAAAGGATGCGATCCAGTTCATTGACGAAAATACTATCGGAGTGATGGTCATATTGGGCTCGACATATACTGGACATTTCGAGAACGTAGCGGAGATGAGCGACCTACGTGAGTGCCCGATTCTTCTACTAGTATCGACTCAACATCAGTCTCATGATCAACATTCATCCAGTTGATGAACTTCAAGAGAAGACTGGACTAGATATTCCAATTCATGTCGACGGCGCATCCGGTGCATTCGTCGCTCCGTTTGCTTTCCCGTCCTTGAAATGGGGCTTCGATATCCCCCGTGTCGTTTCCATTAACACCTCTGGACACAAATTTGGGCTTGTCTATGCTGGAATCGGCTGGGTGCTATGGCGAGATGAATCTTTTTTGAACAAAGATCTTGTCTTCGAGCTTCGTGCGTATAGATCATTTAGTGAACTAATGAATCGCCGCTAATAATCCGATGTATCAGATTACCTCGGTAATGTTGAGTATTCCTTCACATTGTAAGTCTGGATCATCCAACCGCTTCTCACTCACTTAAGCATTCCACAGGAACTTCTCAAAGCCCGCCTCACCTATCATCGCTCAAATGTTCAATTTCCTCAATCTTGGTTTCGAAGGATATCGTAAAATTGCGATCAAGGACCTGCGCAATGCCAGATTGCTTTCCAGAGCTTTGGAAAATACGTACTTCAAGGTCCGTTGAAATTGACCTACACTTCGATGTAATCTGTTAACCCGTGCTGTCAGATATTGAGTAACATTCATCGTGTTTTACCTGGGCGAGATGAAGATGACGATCCGGAATCGTATGAACCAGGCTTGCCTGTTGTGTCATTCAAGTAAGGTGTCGACATTTTCGGAGATGAACGGGCTCACGTCTCTTGTCCAGGTTATCGGATGATTTCAAAGAAAAATATCCGCACGTTCAGCAAGTTTGGATTCAGGTATGTGGAAGAAGCTACCTGGTGGAATGTGTCAATCCGAAGTCGAATCTCATTTTACCACTCAATCTCTAGTCTATGCTCAGGACAAAAGGCTGGATCGTACCCAACTATAACGTGCGGGATAAGTGTTTCTGAGTCGTGTCGACATAACTCGCCTGATACTTTATCACTGATATTTTATTAGGGACCTGAAGGAGAAAAAGACACTGAGATGCTGCGCGTCGTAGGTAAGAAACCTTACGTTCAACATGACCACCTAAATCTCATGCTTCAGTATATAGTGCGCGAGACGTTGAGCGAGGACCTGACTGAACGACTGATTGCTGATATCATCGACACTACTGAGTCAATGATGTGTACGTCCACTCTGAATCCTGAAAATGTTTACCACGACTGAGACCTCCCTACTAGCTGAATCTGGTAGCCAAATTTTGCTAGCCTCCAGTCAGGCTTCGCACCAAGCTGACAGGGAACATGGTCGACCCGACAAGACTAACTTTGGTGATACTGCGGATGATGCACAGAAACAAGCTGGGTTTTCAAGGCAATGTTGATTTTTCGAATATTATCAAAGACCTATTCAATGTACCATACGCTGAAATCAAGAAGTATATTGGCTATCAACAGCTACATATATTCAATGTGTATCAAATAATGCAAGGTCCAATAGTGTAGAGGTTATCACACAGGATTCTGAAAAAAAAAAAAGAGATTTCCTGTGACCCAGGTTCGAGTCCTGGTTGGACCTATTCCAACTCCCTCGATTGTTTTCTTTTCCTCACCAAGTTTCTTTTTTCCACGAGCGGTGGGCCTGATGATGTCATATGAATTTGTCCTTGAATTTGAATGACGTAGTTTCTGTTTTGCCATAAGTATCTCGCAGTTTATTGATTCCCTTGCAATTAATTCTTCACAAATGACTAGCAAAGTTTCCTCAAACTACGATGTTTTTCTTTACTTCTTGGCTATGTGAGGTCAAGTTACATACCTGGGTCCTGCTCACAATGCTTACAACTCTGCAGATTACTGCCTCCGGTCTCGGTTCTATTGAGTGAGTTCCTGGTCATCAAGTGAATGAACTCTTTCTGGAACTGAAGTTCTCCATTTGATGATTAGAGCGAGGTTGCGCAGCTGGTCAGTTTTTGTTTTCATTTTCTTCTGCCTGCGCAATCAATCCATATTGTGCTTAGATTTCTGGATTAACATCTGTCTGACTATTTTGGGATGGATTCCTGGAATTATTCACGCCTGGTAAAGCTACAGCTCATCTTCCGTTCGGATCCAAGTTAAGTGAAGCTAAAATACAGGTTTATCATCTCAAAAGCCGAGGGTGCAATGTGACGACCCCACACAGAAATGTATCCATACCATCCATCCTTCGAAATGAATGTAGCTATGTACAGATGTGTATCATTATCTCCCGATACAGACTAAGAACAATTTAATGACTGTTGTATTTCTTCCAACTGTTTACTATCCACAGGAGTGGACTCTTTCCATTTAGGTATTGCTATAACCAGCTTTGACCACCTTTATTAAATGATATGCTGATTCGTCGAATGAACTCAGACCTCTTCTCAACGATTCATTGTTTCGTAACAGTGTTTGTCGCTTCTTTTGCCTGCAGGTCCAAACTTCCTTCTAACTTCTATCCATTTAATGCCAACGCAGGGCTTTCCAACGCCTGACCTCTTCTTAATATATAGCCTCGTTTTGATAAAGGCTACGCAGCTGCAGAGTACGAAAGAAGGGATTAGAGATACATGCGGCAAAGGCAGTTGAGATGAATGTGATTTTTCTGATCGATGTTCATGGCAATGAAGCCAAATAACTTCGGACTCGGAAGGGGTGCATTTTTTTCATAAAGCTTTTCCTTTCATCTATTCAACTGCCTCTCAGTTTTCTTCTTATTGCCACCTTCGTCGGGCTTTTACATACGACCCTCGTCTCATACCACCGTAAAAATCGTAAGATTTTCTCTGGCACTCTTCGCATATACGTTGAGTCATTTCCTGGAACAATCAGGTGGCATGGCGTTTGGAAACGGATTACCCCCGGACTCAAGCATTGATCAAGAATTAGTAAATTACTAGTTGATAAATAATAAAGGCAGACGTGAATGTGACCAACTTCCTGTAAGATCGAACCTACAACCGGGGACCGGCGTAAACCCCAGCTCTGGCCTCGTGCAAGAATTCCCTCAACAAAACGTGGAGGTACGTGGTCAATGACCCTCCCTTGACTCTTCGCCTGATAGTGTTCCTGTTCATCTTCGAAGCCTAGTAGCGAACAAGTTGTACAGGTCATACTCGGACGAACGAGGGAGTCTAGATCCCACATATAGCCTGTAAAAGCGACGATCTTTGTTGCGTATCAAGCATGCGCTTTAGGAGGAACCGAAGCCCCTTTGCTACATAGGAACGATCCAGACAGCTGCTATGAAGGCAGAAATTCAAACAGCACGCAATAACGTTTACAACACACACGCGGCCCTCTTCAACAGTAAAGCCATGCCATGTAGTTATTTGATCATTGCATACAGCAAAAGACCGAGGGCTATGAATGGGCTGTGGGATTGGCAAGGTTTGAACGCCACCAGCCTGTCCAGGCTACATAGGGCACGTTGACCTCAGAGAAGAAGAAGTCGGGCATGAGGGGTTCTGTCTGCGAAGTTTTCTTGCAGTGGACTGAGCAAATTCGTGTGTGGACCTATCGTGTGTGCGTGCGTCACTTCTCCAACGGCCGTAAGTTTTTTTTTCATTAGCGGACTCAGTGCGCAAAGCACGCAGAGAATACTTACAGCATACCGCGCTTTCAAGATTGACAATACCCCCCGTGCCGGTGTGGACCCTCGGCAGTGATATTTCGGTCGTACTTATAGCGGGTTCAGACTCGTTGTAGTGGAAATAAATAAATCTGCAGTTCGTGGGGTCTGGCCATCATGGGGGCTAAACTGCCGCGGATGAAATCGAGGGCAACACGTATTATTAAGTGTTCTGTTGTTCCCTGGTTGTGACGTTCGTGCAGGAAAGGAGCCCATCTCTAAAGTTCGGGCTTTCGGACTTTACGTGTTACTAGTAAATGGCCACAATTGAGCGCTCGAGGCTCTTTTCCCTACTTACTTCCATCGTGTTGCCGTCCGTTATGCAACTTTTCAGGTCCCAAATCAAGCAACGGAGAATGGTCAATTTTCTCCTGAATGTCTATCAATCAAACACAACAAATATCAGTTCGACAATCTGCGAGATTCATGGAAGATAATGATTGTGAGAGAACGAAAGACGATACCTATTACTTTGACTGTATCTGTATCAACAAAAGGTTCAAAACTAGCTGAGATGTCCATAATTGTTCAAAGATCCTCAAGTGTTGCGATAAATTGAAGCACGGCGAACACAATCTCCAACGAGTATGTTACGGCCGCCCGGATTGTGTTATTCATTGAGAATCTATTTGTTATTGAAGCAATAAAATTAGATGGTACCGGTTAACCCAAGTGTAGTGTATGTCCGAGGTGAATACTGTGAAGGAAGGAAAGTAATGTCAATGTGTACTCAAAGGGAGAGTTCAAACGTAACCAGAAAAATGGGTAAAAAAGTGAGCACAACGGGTGCATTTTTTGATAGACAGGGAGAAGCCCAAATATGAACGCGGGATAAGCTGGTAACACAGAAAGAGGATACACGGATGGGCAGGTATTATGGACGGGGGACCGCTAGATCGGAAAAGAGAGAAGAGGACTAAAAGAGCGACGATACACAGAGTAAAAGAAATGAAAATGAGTGTTAATGGATGATGTGAGACGAACGAGCGTGATGAGTACATGAAAGAGATAGAGCGGAAACCGTCCATCCGAGATAATAGCAAATTGTCACTCGACCTATGTCGTAGATTGGGCAATTCGTGGTGGAAGTGTGTTACAATGGATGATACAGAGATAGAGATTGAGTCGATAGAATCCCAAAAGATTTGTATAGCTTCCGCAATGAGTTCCTGTATCGGGTGTCCGAGGGCTTTTCAGGAGAGGAAGTCTGTACAATCAAACAAAAACCATGAGTGAATTGATCTTGACTGGATTGTCAGCAGACTGACCGACATTGTTCCTGAGTATGCCAAACAGCAAGGACGAGCTTGGGCGCATTAAACGCCAAAACCCAGTGCAAAGCACAATAGCTTGGCAGAGTACGAAGGAATGATGAAAACGGTACACGAATGTCAAAGAATGTTGAGCAGCAAGCAAACGGCATATGCAAAAGTCAAAAGAATAGAAAAAGCTCGAGACGACGATAATAACACAACACAGCAAAAAAAATAAAGGAGCAGTCAATTCTAGGTATGCAAAAAAAATAATCAGATTTATGATAGATGCAAATGAAATGGATGGAAATGCAAATGCAAATGCCTCAAAAGCAGCGAAGGAGGGAGAAAGAAATGAGCCGGCAGACCACAAATCAAGATTGGATCCAGCTTAGCGCAACACTTCCAGCACCTTTAATGAAGACGTTAGCTTGTACACGACAAACCTGTCCAAAACGCCCGAATCAGTACTTCAACATTGCACAAAGAAGCAAAGAAAGAATTACCATATCATTAACACTTTTACTTCTCCAATCAACAACTAGATTCCCATTGTCCCGCCTCTCAAACTTTTTCAACTCTCCAAAACTCTCGCACCAATTTTTGACTGCCTGATAAGCGCGAGTATCGTCAATCTCTATTCCACTTATCACCAATTTGCGCTTTTTGCCTCGAGCTGTCCCCATAGTAGGAGACCGTATGCCACTAATGTTACCAATAGACACGGTACCAAGGGTAAGCCCAAGGGATCGGCGTTTCTTCTTAGCGAGCGATTGACGTTCGGGAGAGGAGTTGGTAGTGGAGTTAGTCGAGTCGGTAGTAGATGAGCTAAATGCAGAAGATAAGGTGCCAATGGTGCCACTTCTTTCCCTCCGAGTAGGAATTGCTTCTCCGTTGACCTCACCAAGCAACACGCTTGGCGAGACAAATGAGCTTCGCATTGCAGAGTCGGCAGGGGTCAAAGTCCTGTCTGGCTCAGCCATACTAACAACGGTAGTGCAGTCATCCTTAGCGAACGGATCAGAAACGATTTGCCCCAACTCATCGACTTTCAGCGGTGGAACGGGAGGGATAGATTCTGGAGAGACGGGACGTGGAGAAATGGCCAAGGAAGTTGAAGATCCAAGCGTGAATCTCGATATGAAACCAGACATTCTTCCACCTTTGGTCTTCGGACTTTTACTTGGCGACTTGATTGATTGACGGGGAGGGGTAGAGGGAGGTGCCCGTGGAGGAGACGATGGTGGTCGGGGTAGTGTAGGAACTGTCGACATTGTGCTTGTGTGGATCATAGAGATCTTCCTATCCCTGGGCTCCTTTGGGCTCCCTCCGCTCGGCGGCAGATCGCCGGGACCGATTAGAGACTGTGTACCAAACAAAGTTGGTGTTGCGCCTCGGGGGACACTAGATTCTGTTTGTGAATGCGTCGACGGAAGGAACGTTAAGCTTTGCGCAGCTAGCGGAGAGGATGGCGCTTTGGGTAATCGGAATCCATACACTTGAGCATAACTGCCTCTAACCATCTGGACATCGTCTTCCACACCCGTAGGAGTAGAAGGGAAGTCGTTTCCACGCTCATAAGACAGCGGCCTGCTTGTGGAGGAGGATAGAGGAGGCCTCGGTGTTCTAGGAGAGCTAGGGACTGATGGTATATCCAAACCGGCAGCGACT